AAAAAAAAAAAGTACATTACCAGCTTTAAATTTTTTTCCCTCGGTCTGTGCTACAGGATGATAAAACAGAATTGCACAAGAGTAAGGAGTGTGCACAGATACTGTAACGTTCGTGTTAATAAAAGGTGTCCAAGACAGCTTTTCTTTACAAAAATAAACCGTGAAGGAGACCTGGTTTTTCCAGCCCCGTCATCAACTCTGAGAAACGGCGCTGGTGCCTGCTTGTCCCCTCTTAGAGAGCAACTGTGTGTCCCCAGCACGCCCTGAGTTCACAGCGTCCTGCAGCAAGCAGCTGCCCGGAAGCCGCCACCAGGGGTGCGCTCTGAGCTCCTGGAAACTACATCCACACGGGGACGCTCTCCGAAGCGTCAGCCTTCCTGGGGTCTGAGTCCCTGTCCCTCAACATTGCTCGAGTTCTCCTGCCGCTTTCGTGTCCCGTGACCGCCCTGAGGACACTGTATGCAGCCTGCAGAAGAATCTAGAACTTGAGTGGGCCTAGGAGAAAGACGGCATCCAGGAGAGTTAGAACCTGCATCACATCCATCTGGGGAGTGGTGCCGATCACCTTCCCCGAACAGCCCTCTTGAAAAGCAACTGGAAAGTCTAGCTGAAATTACCTAAAGGTGCAACATTCGCATTAACGTGTGCAGCCGAACGTTACCTGGGGAGCTTGGAGCGCAGTATCAAAATACGCGACCATCAGACAGGAAGCAAAACTTTCAGAGAGACCAGGCTAAAGCTGTTGGGTGTGGGTGACCGTGAACCCAGGCCACGCTGAACACGAGCAGCCGCTAGCTGCCCTCGGAGCATTCTGGGAGGGCTATGGAGCACTTCGGGAGAGGTGGTGTTAGCTGAAACCGGTAATGACTCCCCTCTCGCCTGGCCTAAAGAAGACCTCGTGTAACCGCTCAGAGTGTGGGGTGTGTGTCCCTAGAAACTGTCAGGCCTGGGGACAGGTGACTCAGGCCTGGGGGTGGGAGGTCACTGATGGCTTTCAGCTGGGGACGACGGAGCAAAGGAATGCTGCTGCTTTATGATAAATCTGCACCTAGAATAGTCCAGAACTCTCTTGGGGTGGGGGTGGGGGGAACAGTAAAGGAACTGCACCACCTAGTTTCCAAAATTATTGTAAAGCTACAATAATTAAACAGCAGCAATGAGATTAGTTAACAGAAAATCCAAAGAAAGACAGAGGTTTGGTCCCAGTGCCATTCAATGGGATAAAAATATGTTCAGTAACTGGGACTGAACAACTGGAGAGCCATACCCATGAAGAGTAAGAAGGGGCTGGATGTAACGAAATGCACCTTGAGCCCCAGTGCTCCGGAGGCAAAGGAAGGTGGATCTCTGTGAGTTCAAGGTCAGCCTGTTCTCCATAGTGAGTTCATGGACAGGGCTACACAGTGAGACAGTTTCAAAAGAAGAGGAGGAGGAGGAGGAGGAGGAGGAAGAGGAGGAGGAGGAGAGGAAACCACCCTTGCCTCCCACCTTCATGTTGTCTGTACAGACTAGCCAGGGAGCAGCCATAGACTTAAATACAAGAGCCAAATTATAAATCTTTAATGTTTAAAATGTGTAATTATTGGGTGTGTGTGTGTGTGTGTGTGTGTGTGTGTGTGTGTGTGTGTGTGTATGAGAGAGAGACAGACAGAGAACTTCCACCTCTTTGTGGGTCCTGGGGACCAAACTCAAGTCGTCAGGTCTATGTGGCAAGTGTCTTTTCCCACTGAGCCATCTCGCCAGCCCCAAATTTTAAGAAGTTTAAAGATAATTGTCCTACTTAGCTATTTCTGAGTAACAATGTTATAATTAGCATCATGGCTCAAAACAACTCACATTTATTATGGGACAATCCCCTGGGCCAGGAGTCTGGATTCTCTGCTGTGAGTTCCCACGGCCGCTGGCAGGCTGTGGTCCCCTGCAAAGCTCCAGTGGCTACAACTACTGGAAAAGTCAGCCTTTTGCAGTTACTGAGCAGGACTTCACAGTGTGGCCCTCAGCTCCTAGATGTCACCCCAGATCCTTGTCATGTTATCATTTGCTGCCTCAAAGTCTGATTCTGCAGCTAGATGGAGACTCTAACGGCTAGCTTACGTAACACCCGTGATCATGCGCATGCATCGGCTTTGCTGCATTCTGCTGCCTAGAAGTGAGTCACAGACCCTGCCCACACTCAAAGCCAAAGAGCACTAACATAACATTGGGGAAACACAGTTACCCTGTCCTGTATCTGCACTCAGCCAACTGAACAGTTACCCTGCCTGTGTCTGTACTCAGCCAACTGCACAGTTACCCTGTCCTGTGTCTGTAGACTCAGCCAACTGCACAGTTACCCTGCCTGTGTCTGTACTCAGCCA